GCACGTTTCTGTCGCCGCATCGTGAGAAATATATCATAGATGGCCAAATTCCATAAGAAGATTACGGTTGGTTTTTTTCAAATGCTAAATACCGGCTAGTTGGCATTTAATTGGATTTATTTGAGAGGCTTTACTGGTCATAAAAATACTACATTAAAAAAAAAAAAAATTTTTTTTTTAAACTTAGTAATGAAATATTAAACAATTTTTGCAATAGATATTTACTAAAATGTATGTACAAAAACCCATATACCCCTTCAAATAAAGATCATTAAATCGCATTTAAAATGCATTTCCTAGTACGAGAGCACTTGACATAGGACGGCATATGTAATAAGTGAAACAAAATCGCTTTTAATGAAGCCTGGGAACAATCTAATCACAAAACATATGTTCGTGTATTTATCCTTATATTATAGCATATATCTGCCCGAGAAGTGAACAACGCGACTTTTTAAGCGCACTTAATAGAAATTAGCCCGCGGCATCATCGCACATTTAATATTTAGCGCACGTTTTGCTAATTAACGCCGACAATGACTGTGGGCATTCTTGGGTTAAATGTGCGCTATATGACCACTTGGACATTCGGATTCCCAATCATAGAAATCTCGCCGAATCTTGTGATTTTTTATTATTTATAATATATACATATCTGTATATAAATATATCATTAATCTTGTTTTTGCAATCTAATCACTGCTGTGCAGAATTCAAACAAAAGTAATTAAATGCCAGTAAATGTATTTATTATCAGTTTTCGGTTAGACTTCTCACTCCAACCTTGGGATCTTGACCAGCTCAGATTGCTTGGTTTATGACTTCTTCGTTTTTCGACAAATCCCATGTCACCCTTTGAGACGAGATCTTCATGCTAAGCCCTTAGATAAGGATACTTTATAATGGGGCGCCTCATTGTAAACTATCTTGTGGGTTCTAAGATTACTGTCTGTGTACTATTCTTAACATTTTTTTATGAGCCTAGATGGCTTGGAAATCTTTTTTAAACTGGGCCATAAAGAAACTACGTTTTGCTTAAATAAATATTTAATATTATTTTTGGATTGTATTATCTTCACTCTCGTGCCAATTTTTAAAAGCTGAACTAGTTTTAAATTCGGTTTTATTTTTTTTAGTATTTGATTTATTTTGATGACCTGCTCGTTTTACCACTTTAATAAACCTGAACTAGAACTTAAATGAATTCACATCTTTTCTTGTTTGAATTAAAGTCATTATAGAACCGAAATCCTCAATGTATTTGAATCTTTAATAAATGAAAATGTAATACTAATATTTCTTATAAATATGCCATGTTTATTTCATATTTTGTATTATTTTCTATTGGCTTTAAATATTCCTACATGTATATTTATTATTGAATTTATAACAATTTGGAACTAGTTCAGTTCAGTCATTGCACATATGCAACTGGTTCCTCCGAATAAAACCTGATTTTGGCATTTCGTAAAATTTCCATACCCAACTGGAATTTTGCAGACAAATCGTCTGCCAACTGAAAACATAAAGGAAAAAATAAAATAAAATAAAACAAGAGCCGAAAAGCCGAAAAAGAGTCAAATAAAACAGTTGGCATTTAAGCGCGTGAATCGTAAAACAATAACCATTGAAAATCAATTGGTTACTGCTGCTCCTTCGCGGCGATAAGAAAAAGGGGCAAAAAACGAAGACTGAACGGCGGCAAAGTCTATTGGCGATCGGCGATCGACTATCGACGATCGGCGGCTGATCCACTAATCAAGGTGCATTTATATGCCAAACCGATCCGCTGACTATATAATTGCGATTCCCAGTTCCGCATGCAAACAAAGGGGAAAAGAAACGGAATTCAATTTGGATCCCCAAATGCCACGCCCCTCTCGAGCCCATCCGCCCACGTGTTTTGTTTTGACTTTGAACTTGAAAATCGCAAAGCGAAAATGAGTCGCTTGAATCGCTTGACAAACGCTGCGTATACGTAATGCGAATATTTGCTCTTTCTCCCTCTTTTATTTTCTTATTTACTTTCTTTCTTGTAAACGAAGTAAAGGTTTCGTGCTTGTGAAATATTCATATTTTTTTATCCCAACTATTATTTAAATTTGAAAATGTCAAACCATAAATAGGCAATCGGTAATCAGTGAGGCTAATTAAGGTACTACCTATTTCGGGGCACGTTGCGTATACGTAACACGTATTCAAAATTCTTGTGAGTTTAAAGTTCTGTGGGTTGTTTGGGTTTGTTATGATAAGCTTATCGGATTTTTAGTATTTTACAACCTGCTCTTTGTAAGTCAAAGATATTTAAGAAAAGACTTTACAATTGCTTAAGCTGTTCAAAATTAAAATCTATTAATATTTCTTTGAAATTATAATTTTAAAAAATAAAGAAAAATTTCTTTATTACAACCATAAATTTTCCATAGCCGAGAATTAACCGAAGTGAATCAGAGGGTATTAACAAACGCACAAAGCACAGGCAAAGAAAGCTTAACGCTCAGCGCTTAACGCCTGACAAGAAGGTGACAAATAAATTGACAATTCAAATATTGAATTTTCCATTGATATGGAATGTTTTCGCAGTCCATTATATGCATTTCCATTATCTGCTGCTGTCGTCGGTGGACAAGTGTCGCGTTCTACGTCGTCAGGAAATCTTCCCTCGACGGTTGCACTGTTTACGACGGATTGATATAATAGCAGGTCTTAATCTACAGGGCTTTCTCACCAATTTCCCAGTAATCAGCCAGCTATCGAAATCGTCCAATAACCGATTAGATTGGATTGGAAAACTATTTTTATAAACAAGCATAGCGACTTTTTGCAATCGGAAATGACTTACTCACCGATGATTTTAGCCACAAATAGCCAATTTATGGCCTTTGTTGTAAGGGAAAACCAGGAGGTTTATCAATGGTCAATTGGGCGACTCGAAAACTTTCCATAAATTGCTAGTTAGGCGCACATGAATTTCAGGGGGATTTTTCAGCGGGTTCATGGTGTCTAAGTTCAATGAATTTGTGGTTTTTTATATAAACGGAATTTATTGGTAAACCAAAAATATTGCAAGGGAAAATCTCGGGAATCTTTCCATGAATTGTTGGTTTTTATATTGTTATATTCTAAACTCAAGATAAATAAATGCCCTATAATTTCCCAATACTTCCATGATAATGCTATATAATTTCCCATTTTATGCGGTGATCTTTGCAATTTATAACACCCCTTGACCTTCCCCGGGCGGTTTATGGCGACACTCTCAAGAGCACCCAGATAAAGATAATAACAATAGGCAGGTGTGTTGTGTGTATAGCTGCAGTTGTATACTTATTTTTTTATTTTTTGCTACGTAGCCGACGCGTGGACCTGATTTGTGACGTGATGATATTGACTTGCGAGCGCAAGGCTTTCACTCCACGGCGATAAGAACCCATGCCAGGCGAAACAAAAATCGCGAAAAACCCTTTAGAAGTCTCAAGTGGATCATTCAATATAGAATCGCCTCTCAATCCTCCCTGTCATCGGTTTTTGTTATATTGTTCCCAGTTGTCAAAGCCAAGTGGCGGCAATTTATTGTGTCCAACTGTTGTCAACGCGTTGGCAAACAAGCGAAATTAAACTCTTATCGCTGGCAGGTGTGTGAGTGGCTATGGAGAGTTGTGAAAAGCGTAAAGAGTCCATTAAAGTCCATTGAAAATATAAACATGAAAACATGAAATACCTACAGTCCTTTGGTGGTCAAAAATGCTGATGGAAACCGAAAGAATATCTAAACAAAAATGATCATTGAAAGATACATAATAATATTGCAATTAAGCTGTTGTAATTTGCAAATATTGTACTTTTTTAATGGTTTCACAAGGAAATTATCTTCAACTTAAAATGAGGTCTAAAAAAACTGGTTAACTTTGGGGTTCCCTTTTCTCCCAATCATTTCAATCGGTCAAACATAGACATACAAAAACCGACGATGCCAAAAGTTTTTAACAAACGGGTCCAAAAAAGCAGAAACCGAAACAATTTTGATTATCTTGGTCAGGGCCTCTCTCGGTTCCTCGATCATGCGGAAGTTCCAAACAAATTGTTCGGGCAGGTCAGGCATATTTTTGGAGCAAATAAATAAGTGATGAATGGATGAATTGAGGAAACTAATCGCCTGAAAACATAATTAATTTAAATTTTTTGAAAAAAACATTAATCTTTCAATATTTAATTAAAATATTACATTTAAAGTTAGGATACAGTTTTATCACAAACATAATTAAACTTTTTGTAGATTTTTTAAACCGTTTAATACAATTTTAAATATTAAATTGGAAAGTTTCGAAAAAAACACTTTGTAAAATTTCGTTTCTTTTTCTGAAGTTTGCAAAAGGATTTTAATAGAGTTCCGAGTTAAACTTATATAGATTTAAAACAAATTGCCGCTTTTGTAGATTTGTGACCCGATCTTTTGTTGCTTTTCTTGATTTCCATTGATTCCACGTTCCAGCCAATCTATAGTATTTAATCAAACCGATTTAAATCGATTTTAATGAATGCGTTAAACAAGAAATAAACCAAATACGTTGTTGTTGTTGCCTTGCAGCCATATCAACGGTCCGGTGACTAAGCTCAACCTCTCAACCTCAACCTCAGCCTCAGTCCTTCTACCTGCGACCCTACGACCTTACGACCCTACTACCCACTACCTCTCACATTCCCTCGTACAACCTGGCCCCCAGAAACTACGGACACTACGACGCACACATCCTGCGACAAACACACGGCGCCCCAACATTCCCCACATTTTCAATACAATGTAAACCAAACGATTCTCCAGATTCTTTCAATTCTTGTTCCAATTTATATTCTTCATTCATTCCTTAAACTAAAACAAAAAGAAAACGTAGACCTACGTAATACTGAAAAGCAATCAATGCACTTTCCATAATTCTTAACTTATTAAATTATTTATCTAAAAATAATACCATTTTGTGATATCTTTTTTGTGTTTAGTCATAGGTTGAAAAAAAAGAAAAGAAAATCCAAAAACAAAAAGTATGCAAAGCCCATAGACAAGTAAATCTAAAAAAAAAACAAAAACAATATTTATTTGAGCACAGTTTATGATTTGTGTTGAATGTTTATTTTGCGTTGGTTTTAATCAAATATAGTTTCAAAGCCTAGACACTCAGGATTTAGTTCAAATATATATAGTTTAGTCGATGAGTTTTAGTTGCGAATACTCGCTTGAGAAAAGGCCCCCGCACACGAACAGACACACGCATGCACGCCAACCGTTTGGGGCTGCTCTACACCGACACCTAAGGACCCCCACACACGACACGACACGACGAACGTAGACGAACACACGCCAAACAAATGCTAAAATGTCGCTGCCCAACGAACAGACAAACTTGCCGCACAATCCCAGCCAACCAGCATCCACAGACACACCATCCACAACAGGAACATCAACAACAACACCTTCTACACCAACACCTTCCACAAGAACCACACCAAACGAGCTGAAACACCGCCTGACGCCATTGAATGTGCGTCGTTTATCGGGCTACGTTAATCCGCAAGCGATCAGCGATAATGCTGGCGATGAACCCCCGCCCACCACCATTAACATTGGCCTCTTCAACAACAATAACAACAACAATACAAATAATAATAATAACAACAACACAGCATCAACAACGCCACCATCTGCATATGCCACACCACCAATATACCAACAACAGTTGTCCACACTGACAGCAACAACACCGCTAGATGTGGCACCGGATGATAAATACAGATTGTTTACCATTTTCAATGGAAACGGTGAGTGAAAGTCAAAAACCCCCTCCCCCCACTGATGCGACAAAAAAGAAAAATAAAACCAAGTTCCACAACAACAATAACAGAATGCAGAGGCAACAATTCTCGGCTCCCGTGTAGATAGGTCTTTTCGAGGAATTATGAGGTTTTGGCCACACTAAACACGAAAGAAACACCATATATCGTTGATCTTGATCCTTTCCTTGATTTATTTTCGCTCTCTCTCTCTATCTGTCTCTCTCTTTATCTCTTGCTCTGTCGCTGACTTTATCTTACTATCTTTTGTATTTACTCTTGATATGCAAATATTTATATTTAAGCGCCCAGACTCGTTTCCCTTTTCATTCATATTTACCCTCGTATCCATATATCCATATATCCATATTCTTTATATTCCTTTTATATTACATTAATCCCGTGCAATAATCGCCCGGCTTGTGTATGTCTCGTCTATTTGCGGTTAAACACACAGAATGTTTACTAATTACCATGCATGCTCGCCGCCTCACCCGGGTTTATCTCGATGCAAAGCTACTGCCTATTATTCGTCTCGTCTGAGCACCGATCTTTATCCGGGACTATATGGGATGTATGTGGGATTCCTGAAAAGTTATCTTGTTTCAAACATGCTTATTCCTTGGATATCTTTGTTTTTAAGGACCTAAGGAAGCGAGAACAGATAAATATGATTTAATACTTGTAAATAAAATAATTCAAAAGAAGTTTTGCTTTTAAAATCTTTTTAAATCGATATTAATCGGAAAAATCGATTTTAATTGATATAAATCGAAGAATCGATATAAATCAAAATAAATCGATATACTTGGGATTACAAAAATCTTTTGGTTCTTAAAGATTGAAAAATCTGTATGTATAAATCTTAGACCTTTCAAACACGTTAAGCTTTTCTGCTAATGACCTTTTCCGCTTTTTTCGTACTGATACAATTTCGAAAGGGTAGCCAAGTGTCTTTACCACTCGACTTGGATTATGGCATTCTTAATTGTTATTTTTGTGATGTTTAATTGTCGCTGTCTCGGCGGCTCGCGAATTTGTTTATGGACGAACGATTCGTGGTTTATGAACTTGGCTACGAGTCGACACAGAAACCGAAAACGCAAATAATAAATAAGAGAATTCTAATCAAACGAGTTTTATTTTTTGCTCGACAAAGACTCCACCTGGAGACTGCCGAAAAAAGTGTACAAAAAAAAATGAATAAAACACAGAGAATCAGAGAAACATGCATATATACATACATATATATGTTGATATTTAATTTATAGCGATGTTAATTAATTGCCCTGCTAATTGCATGCATAATGCTGCTAAATTTAGATTTAAGATGCATGCCACACACACGCACACCACCTCAGCACTCTTAGGCTAATGAATGCACCTTAAATATAGTATAGTCGTAGTTCCCATGGATGAGAGAGAGTGACCCGAGCACCTAATCCGGCGACCCACTTGGAACACTTGAACTGCTGTGCCTTGAACCCCAACTAACCCGCATCTTGCAACCCTCTTCTTTCGTTTCTTCCCCTCACAAAAAAAAAAAAAAACAATCCGATCGCAAATCCAGATCCCGACAATGAGAAATTGTCGGGCCTACCACATTCGACAACCGGTTCACTAAGCTCAATCATCACGACGTCCATAGCATCCTCCGAACCGGATCCTGGAGCGGCGAGTGGCGGCGGCGGCGGAGGAGGAGCAGGGGGAGGAGGCGGCGGTAGTGGCAATGGCGGCATCGGATCGGGCGCCCCTGTGGCGGCGGATGCCTCCAGCATCGCCGGCATCAATGGCAGTTCCGAGGAGAAGTTGGCGCTCAACAGGCCCGGCATCAAGCAGGAGAAGTGGTCCACTATCCTGCTGCAGGTCTCCATTCCGTTCTTCCTCGCCGGCATCGGCACCATCGGAGCTGGCATTGTGCTGGGACGCGTTGAGGTGAGTTCCAATATTCATATATAAAATAATAAAACAGATATTTAACAATTAGATGTTTTTAAAATTTCGCCTTTCTATAAAATCTATACCTAAAAAAGAGGATTCTCTTTCGAACTATTAATATTTCCACTATAAATTGATTTATCCTTTGGAATTAGTATTTATAAATCATTTTGTGTTTGCAATATCCTATATCATCTATAAAATGTTAAAACAGATCAATACCTAAAAAAAAAAATATCTTTCGAAATATTTAATATATCCATCTTAATTTGGGTTTTCATTTGAAATAGTATTTATCAATTATTTTGTTTTTGAAATTTCTTATATCATAAAAAAAAATTTTAAAACATATTAATACCTAAAAAAAACATTATCTTTAGAAATATTTGTATTTTTATATTAAATTGGTTTTTCATTTGAAATAGTATTTATTAAGAAGTATTTAAAAAGAAATTATTTAAAATATTAATACTTCCATCTTAAATTGGTTTTTCATTTGAAATAGTATTTATCAATTATTTTGCTTTTTGAAATTTAATTGCCGTTTTCCAACACTTCAACTTAAGTGAAGTAATTGTTTCACCTGACTTCCCTTCACTTTGTAGGTGTCTGGGGGGCGATAAGCTAAGCCTAACGAAAGTCAAACAGCAACGACAGCGTAAATTGCATCAAATTAAATTGTAAAAACTTGTAATTGCCTGGGCTCAGTGGGATGGCCCATTAAAACAGAAAGATTTGCACTAAGTCAAGCACAAAGTGAATCGTAAAATAGTTAATTGCACATTTTCACTTGATTTAAATTTCTCTTGTGGGAAAATTCCTATTGAATGCTTGGTACATGGGCCTAATTTATTGGCTCCTATGACGCGAAAGAGTCTTTTATTTTAGACATATGTCACAAATTGATAACAATATGTTGTTTAGTTTAATAAATAATTGCAATTATGCAGATAAGAAATCTTTATGGCTTAGCTTCATAAATAATCCTGTGCAATAACACACGATAAAGTCAGAAATCAGGTATTAATGAGGGCTATAAGTACGCTTTCTATAATCGATCTGTTCTGTTTGGGGACTCAAGACTTAGAGAGCCACTCAATCACACAAAAAAACAGAACACAGAAACCAGACAGAGCTAATGCTATTTTTAAACCTTCGCCCCCTCTTTGTGTACCTGGTGAATTGGCACAATTCCTTTTAGAATGTTATTTATGGCTGCGGAGTAAATATATGTATCTTGCATATATGCGTTAGATAGTAAATGTTTAATTTGCCTGCTAATTGATGGTAAAAGTTCTGGGCCAAACTGGAGCCGCAGCCAGTTACAGGCGGCCAATGCCCGAAATGAACTGAAAATATTGTCCGTTATAAAGAGGAGTTTGGGATTAAGGGGCTTTACGATGGGTCGTAAATGCTGTCATACATATTCGATGCACTCTTGCAATGAGCAATGATCTTTAAATGATGAATGTTGAACCATAAATAATTGAAGTATAAAAATAAATAATAAGTTATAATAGGAAGTATATTTAATGGAATAAAATGTTTTTCAGTTATACTACTCTAATCTATACTATAAAAGTCCTAAAAATCTATACGATTATAATATAATAGTCTTAAATAATGGTACGACCCTCCTGCACCAACATGGCTTTATAAAAATATCTCTAAAAAACTGAAATTAGGAAATAATAGAATAATATCTAAAAATATTAAATATTACAAATTCTAATAAAAATGATCTCTTTTGCCCCTTAGAAATGGTATGTCTTCAAGAATGTGAGCGAGCTGTTTATCCTGGTTCCGGCGCTTTTGGGCCTGAAGGGCAATCTGGACATGTGCCTGGCCTCGCGGCTCTCCACGCAAGTGAACCTGGGCAACATGACCAGTCGGCAGGGCGTGATACGGATGATAGTGGGGAATATAGCGCTGGTGCAGGTCCAAGCGACAGTGGCCTCCTTCCTGGTGGCCATGTTTGCGGTGAGCGTTGGTGCGGCGATGACCGGTGAATTCTACTTCGAGAACATGATGCTGCTGACGGCCTCGGCCATGTTCACGGCCACCTCGTCGTGCTTTGTGCTGGGTAGGATTTATCCTTCGATACTTATACCACGTACTTAACTAATAATTCCCCCCTTTGCAGACTTCGTGCTGGTGGCAGTGATCCTGTTTTCGCAGAAATATCGCCTCAATCCGGATAACCTGGCCACGCCCCTGGCCGCCTCCATTGGCGATGTGGTGTCCATCAGTTTGCTCTCCTTCATCGCCTCGCTGCTGTACGAGCATATCAGTAAGTATTGGCTTTCTATCGAAAGATATATGTTAAACATACTTGATTTTCCCCACAGAAACGCACCTGTGGATCACGTTCATCGTGGTCACCTGCTACCTGGTGCTGTTGCCCATGTGGGTGATGATTGTGCTGAGGAACGAGTACACGCGACCGGTGCTAAAGAGCGGATGGGTGCCCGTCCTCTCGGCCCTCTGCATAAGTGGGTACGTACTGCGCACTCCGCACTCCGCACTCGGCAATCTATTCGATCCGATCGGATGATGGACTCTCGAGTGTAAAAAGCAAAAATTGGGGCCATGATAAGCAGAAAAACAGAGCGTCAAGTAGTCAAGTTGGCCGCTATATTTAGATATATCAGGCCGTTTAATTTAGTGCCAAATCATGTCCAGGCGATTGTATCTCTATCGCTATTTATAACAAATCTGGGGAATAAGTAGCCAAGACGCGAGATTCGAGACCCGAGACCATGGGAAACATTCGCACGGATGGATGTCCCTGAGGGGTCAAGTGCGCTTATAATTGGAATCAGCAGTAGGATTTGAATTCCCGGGCGTTATAATTATTCGCCATGACTAGGGAATTTGCGGCAATAGAACTTCGTAAGACAAGCACACACTTCAGTTTACTTAAATTAAAACAAACATTGGAATGGGAGTTGAATGGGAATTGCAACGTATTTAAATGCAACTGATAAATGTTTTCAGAAATTTCGTGGTATTTTAAAATGTATATAAAGGTATTAAAGCTTCTTAACTCTTTTATAGATTTTATAGATTTTATAGAAATAGGCATATAAACTATTTAATTAAAATTAATGGACTTTCCCCTCTTGCCATTGCAGTCTGGGTGGCCTTGTGTTGGATGCCGCCGTCGAGGTGTTCACTGGGTTCGTGGTCTTTCAACCGATCATCAACGGAATCGGCGGCAACCTGGTGTCGGTGCAGGCCAGCAAGATATCCACAATGCTGCACCAGAGCTCAATTATCGGGATTATACCACCGCACACGCAGATCTTCGAGTGGCCCTGGCGGGCGCTCTTCAAAGGAGGTAATTCCTAAAACAGATATTTATAACTGAGAGTGGTATTAATGTGTCCAATTTTCTTTGGTAAACACAGTTCCCTATGCGAAGACAGCACGGATTCTTATTGCCATGTCCATCCCCGGCAATGTCCTATTTATCTTTGCTGCTGACTATATAAACTATAGCACCTCGACGGTCACCTGGGTGTTTGTGCTTTCGTATTTGACTGCCAGTTTAGTGCAGGTGAGTTATTAATTATTATTATTTATTTTAATTAATAGTAAATGGCATATAACTCTTAATAACACCATAAGTAATATCAATTTATATTTCTGGTGCTTATAAAAAGTACAAAACCCATGAGGTCTTTCATTACCAAACAAAAAAATTACACTAATTATTTAATTAAATGTAAATATACAATTTCTAATGTGTGGCGATCGTTTCAGGTGATGCTGCTGCTGTATATTGCCCACATTATTGTGCACGCGATGTGGAAGTGGAAGATCGATCCGGATAACTCGGCCATACCCTACCTGACGGCCCTGGGCGATCTGCTGGGCAGCAGTCTGCTGGCGGTGGCGTGGCTCTTCACCATGTCGGTGGGCATGCAGTACGGAAGCGGAATGCAGACACTCAACGCACCCAATTAGAGTAGGGATTACGAAATACGGAATAGCGTAGAACGAGAAATGATAAATGATAAATGATAAACAAGGCAGCCACACACCACACACAATATAAAGAACTGTTATGTACCTAAAACAAATATATAGAAAACATAGAAATTGTACGTATAGCCTTCAGCGCCCCTCCTTAAAAACCAAAACAAAAAACAAAAAACCTCCCAACACCAAACCGAAACGGAAAACGGAGAGCGGAAACGGAAACCAATATAAAACGAACTAACTTCTAATGATAATGATGCATGAATGCCGAATGTTCGAATGTTCGAGGCGGGAGATATTAAGAGATAGAGATGATATCATTTTACATTGAGTCCTTCTTCACATGGCTTTTGCTTGTGTTCCTTTTGCTCTACCCAGAAATTATGTGCGATTATGGTATATATACAGGTTATATATAGGCATATGTAGATTTGCAGGTCTGCTGCGGCATATTTTTTAAGGCTTTTAGGACAATATTATACACATTTAAAGAAATATATACATTGTATAGGGAGAAAAAGAAGACGAAGACGAAGAATAACTAAAAGAACATTTACGCAACGCAAATTGTTTCCTCCCACTTCGGTTCTTGATTCTTTCGCTCTGGTTTACCTTAATCAGCCAAATAATAATTGCAAAAGCATAGTCTTAAATAGAACCTACTTAAATCCTTAATTTACACTTACCAACCATTTATGTAGTATTAGCGCAGATTTGATTTTTGCAAGTCTCGCTTTCGATTTTGTGCGTTTTTTTTTTTAAATATTACTTTTCTCATTGTCCCTTCTCCATTTCCCCGCAGCCCCGAGCGATGAAAAAGAAAAGCAATAATTAACGCGCGGAAAACGATATTTATTATTGCAAATTAGTTAGGACGATGGGAAGTGTATGCAGGAGTTTGTAGGCTCTGCAACAAAAAGTGAACAGGGATTAAAACGATGAGAATGGGAGACGTTCTAAAAGGAAATGTGATCGATATTTAGTTATAATAATAATAATAATTATAAATTAATTGAAAACGTAAGAGAAAAGGCATCAATATTGTGTAATACTTGAAACAATAATACCAATTAAATAAATATGTTGGAATAAACGAAAGCAAACAGATTCGTTCATAAAGATAATGTTGTTTTTATTATTTATAATATTTACATATATTTTTTGATATAATAATATCATTGTTTTTAGCGAAACATAAGAAATAATTATTCGAATATGGAATGTTATACCTCGTTAAGCTCTTAATTTGATTGCCAACCGATTGGCATTCCAACCTGGAACTTTTTATTTTTAACTAATTTTCGCCAAAAAGTCAATCATTAACAAGAACAAAAATTGATCAAAAAATAAATTTTCCAAAAAATGATGGGAATAGTTGGTTGTAGGCTGCTCAAAGCAGTCGGTCGGTCGGACCGAAAAAACGACTATTTTGGTCTAAACTCCGAAACCATATTTTCCAACCTAAAATATCAGTATTTTGGCCGAAACATTGGAAATAATAGTTCAAATATGAAATGTTATACCTCGTCGGCGTTCAAAGCTAAATACATTTTTGAATATTTAAAAAAAAAGGTCATGCTTCCTCTTATAGAAAATGTAAAAATTTTCCGAAAGATATATTTTTTATTCTTTTCGAAAATGTTGTCGATTTTTTGCTTATGTTATTTAGCTAGATAATTCCAATTTTTGTCTATAAAATCAGTGTTTTGTCGAAAGCAAAGCACAACAGTGTTGCAATTTAAAATTGGGCGTCTTTAAAAAAATTCCATTGTGTGAACGCAGCTTAGTAATTGTCGCTGTTGCTGCTGCGGTTGCAGTGTGAACACTTAAACAACCGCCGATAAAATTTAACACCTATCGATTAGTCGATAACAGGCGCATCCACTGCTGATTTGAAGTAAACGACGCGGGATTTAATTAAATTTCCTTAGATTGTTATTTATTTGTCCAGGATGTCGCATCTGATGCCCCGGCGGACCAGCGAGTTCCGCGGCGAAGTGCTGGAAGAGCGGAGCACCGCCGAGAAGCGGCAGACCAGGTGAGAAGCCCCAAATCGCGGGGAATAATAAGAACTAAAACCAGGATCATCTTTTATCCAGGGCGACCAAGCGCAGCATGGTCATGCACACTCCGTTGTCCAACCAGGCGATGCCCCGAAGGTGCGTTGATAAGCCCCCCCTGATAATACCTCTAATACACCGCTTCCTAATCCCCTCCAGAGCCTCCGCATCGCGGTTTGTGCCCTCCACCGCGGAACGCGCGATTCCCCCGCACACCGACAAGAAGTGGGTGGCGGAGCGGTCGCACCAGATCCTGGAGTACCTGCATGCCATCCATCAAAGCGAGGCGGCCGCAGGATTCATCTCGGATCTCTCTAGCCGGCCTGGCGGCCTGCGGAACATGACCATGAAGCAGTTCGTGGCCATCCTCAACCTGCTGTTCCAAAACATCTGGCGAAATCGGGTGACCGTGGTGGGCCAGAACCACGTCGAGGACATCACCAGCGCCATGCAGAAGCTCCAGTATCCCTACCAGGTGAACAAATCCTGGCTGGTCTCCCCCACCACGCAGCACTCCTTCGGCCATGTGATCGTCCTGCTGGACTTTCTCCTCGACTTTGCCCCGCCTCCGTTTCCCACCGAAGAAGAGGACTTTCCCTTCATGGAGACCACGGAGCAGCCGAGCTGCTCGTATCTGAACAGCATGCACTGCGCATCGATGGCCGAGCTGGACGAGGAGGTCAACGCTCTGCTCTTCGCCGCGGTCGGCGACTGCATTGTCCTGTGGGATCAGGAGCTCGGCGAGGAGGAGGCCAAGCTGCAGGCGGAGACCGGGGATCGGTTGATCAGTAGGAAGTGCCATTTGCCGCATCGCCAGGCGCTGGACCAGTTGATCGACGAACTGAGGCTGAAGCTGCAGCAACTGGACGTTGAACTGGGCAGCTCCAACGATCTGGAGCTTCTAATGGAGGAGCAGCAACAGCTCGCCCAGCAGCTGGCCCACAGTCAGGCTGATCTGAGCCAGCAGCTCAAGAACCTGGACAACCTAGGCGCCCAGGCCGCTGAAAAGCAGTCTAATCTCCGCCAGCTAATCGAGGACGAACAGCGCCTGGCGGAGGCGGTGAAGAGCCAAAAGTACTCGGCCCAGGAGCTGAAGGCGCTGCAAATGAAGTGCCACGATGCAGAAAACTACTCCAAGGCCTACAGCCGACAACTGCAGGAGGTGGCCGATCTGGAGATGCACCAGCGTGTTTCGGTGTCGCACAGCTGGGCAAAGCTATTAAAAAGCGTCGAAGCCTTCAACTCGCATGCTCGGCACCTCAGCATGGATCCTGTCCTGGCCGCCGGCCAAAAGTTGGAGCTAACTTTGCCCATGTCTCCCAACCAGGAGCAAATCTCCGAACGGGTTCAGCGCCTGGAGTTGCTGGCTAATCTCCTACAGCAGCAGGGCGAGCAGAATATCGAGAGGCGTCTAACGTTCGATCAGCAGGAGGATCAGTTAAAAAGAGCAACCATCGAACTGGAAGGAGAGATCGCCACCTTGGAGTCCCAGCTGCAGCAGCAAGAGCATCGCCTGACCAAAATGGAGGAGGAAAATCGCAACAGGCGCAATCTGATGACACAGCAGCAGTTGCTCGAGGATCAGAGTGATCAGATCGGCCGACTGGAGGAACTGGAGAGGCGGCGGCAGGCGGCGCAGGAGAGGCTCCACACAAGCGAGCAGAAGAACGAAGATCTTCTCGCCGCCGCCGAGTTGCAACAGGAGGAGGACCACAAAGCACGCAACGCCCAGCTCGACAAATGCGAACTAAAACTGATAGAAGGGGAGAAGGAACTGCAGGCCCTGCACACCAAGCTCACCCTCAATCAGGCCAAACTGGATGAGGAGGAGCAGAAGGTGCACTCTGCCCGGCTGCCCTCCTTTGAGCCTGTGCTAGCGGCCATCAAAAAGCGATATTTTAAATTTAACAAATGATAATATTAGCAATTACATCAAGATATGTATACAGACACCAGTTAGACAAGAACAGAACAACTGTTTTGTGAAATGTATTTATTGTGGATTAGGTAAATTTCTTTAGGTTCTTTATTGCCACACGGTTTATGGTTTTGTTACGGATCTCCGCTGCCTTTTTGGATTACAAATTGCACTTGGAACGGTTTAGCTTTACATGGTTACACATATACACTGAGTGGTGGGTGGAGACGGCAAGGACAACTTAAACGTAGGCGTACATAATAAATATTAAACGATATTATCTTTTGGCCAATTTTGTTTGGATTAGAGCGGAATCGACTTGTGTTAGGGAAAGGAATAATGTGACAATTATAAGCCATATTCTAAAATGTTTTAGGCAAAAGAACTAACCACTTAACTAAATCATAAACTAACAATTTATTTGGAATCTTTACTATACATACACTATATAGACAAAAGTGTGGATTTTAATAACAAATCAAAACAACAAATCAGTTTTCCTGTTTAGAGATTGTGAAACTAATGAATATGGTCTCAAATTGTCCATAGATTGTAATCCCTACGCTTCTATTTTTCACAATTTATTTGGAATCTTCAAGAGTTTACCATACATACTCTATATAGACAAAAGTGTGGATTTTAATAACAAATCAAAACAACAAATCAGTTTTCCTGTTTAGAGATTGTGCAACTAATGAATATGGTCTCAAATTGTCCATACAATTCTCTGTGCCACAAGTCAACTGGCTCTAAAATATAGGTGTACAAAGGGGTGAGTACGAGTACGAGGATATAAATTCAACGTTGAGACTGAGACAATATGTTGCGTAATAAATAATTATCATTTAGCTTAGTGCGATTTTATACAATGCTCGTTAGTGCCGACGTCCGACGTCCTCAGACGATGAAGACATCGCCGCTGCTGCGCTCCACGGCGGAGGTGGCCACATCGCCGCCACAACCGGGCCGAATGGCCGAGATCTTGGCCTCCTCTTCCTCCGGCTGCCGATCGGCCTTGTCCAACAGCTCCGCCTCGCGTCCGATCTCCACAATGCCCTGCGGCTGCTCGCAGCTGGCATTGTGCGACTCATGCGACTCGTGCGCCTCTTCCTGGCCGGCCAGGTGGATGCTGACGTCCTCGGCGTCCTTGTGGTTCTGGAATGTAACTGAGATCTCTTGGCTTGCGGCAGCTCCCTCGCCCGCGTCGCCCTCCTGGCCATTGGCGCCTGTCGCGGGCGCAGCGCTGGCATTTGGCGGGGCCGTCGTTATGGATGACCACCAGCTGGAGAAGGCGCCCTTGGCCTGCGAGATGGCACCGCCCACCGCCCGACTCGTCGTGTTCACCGCCTGGTTGATCTTTCGCCCGCTCTCGCTGTTCTGCATGGTTCTGCGGAAAAAAGGGGAGTGTTTAGACTACAGTTGCTAAAGGGTTATTGAGCACTCACTGCGCCAGCTTTAGCTTCATGTCCGCCACGGACAAAGTGCCGGCAAAGGGATGACCAGTGGGCAGGGCATCGAAGAACTCTGGCTCGGGCCTCACGTCGTACCACTCCTGGAAGCACTGGGTGCGCTTGAAGGCGGCCATGAAGTGCGCATTGAAGTGATCGTTTTCCTTGGCCGTGGCATCTGTAAAATATATATCTTTGTGTTAGCTTTATTTCTAAACCAATGTCAACTAATAGAGGCCTGCATGAATCATTCAATTTTTGTTGTATCATAGTATGCCATAAAATTTCTGATTTGTTTAATTCAATTCTATGTGAAAACATAACTGTTATTGTACATTTTTCTTACCAAAAAAATTATGCACTTAGAAGAGTCCTAATTTTTGTTAGCCATTGTAGTTTACAAATCCGTAATGATTTTTATTTGTTTGATTTTTATAATGAAACTCAAAAAATAACTTATTTGTTGATTTTTTTCAACAAATAAGTTATTTTATTATTATTTTATTTTTTTTAATTCCATTGACATTTAAAAAAAATTAAATAATTAAAAAAATGCTAACCGCATATAACTTACTAAAAATCTTAAAAAAAGCCAACCGAGCATATGTATAACTATATTTTTTTTTAAATTTGTTTTACCCACAAAATCGCCGTAAATCAAGTTTGAGTTTTATTTTTGATCACGACGAATAACTGTTATTTGTCAACTTTTATTATAAAATTTAAAAAATAACAGTTATTCTTTGAGTTTTACTTTACGAATCCGAAAATAACTGTTATAACGTGATTTTTAATATAAAACTCAAATTTCCATTCTATGTGAAATAAATTGAATGTTTTTCTAATTCATTTCGAATTGAATGAATGAATGAATACATTTTTTGAATTTTTTTAATTTGCCAGATCTTTTTGTGCTTTCTTTTGAGAACAAAAAGTGGATAAAATTATAAAATCAATGTTAACTGCTTAGAAAATAAAGTTCAGGCAGACTTAATCACAAAATTATGGCCCTTTCTTCTTCAAAATAATTTGTCGTTTGAATTATTTCGGAATTCTATTAAACTCAAAATTCAAATTCATTCAATTCCATTCGTACAGGACTCTATTAACTAAGCACACCCACCTGGAGCCACCGCAGTGCGCAGGAGGGCCAGGATGTAGCCCTGGAACTGCTCCCGAATCCAGTACTCGCTGCCCTCGGCATCCTCCTTCGGCGACTGCACGTGCTTCATGATGTAGTCCATGTAGCGCAGGTCCTCGGTGCTCAGCACCAGCTGGCGCCTGAGCTCCGGATCGTGGGCATCCAGGTTGGCCGCCTCGATGTCCACCAGGACGTCGGCCAGCTGACGCTTCTGCTGGAACAGCACGTTGGAGGTGCCGATGACGTAGGAGAGCACCATGGGATCGCTGAGCAGGTCCATGTACGGCAGCGACAGATACGGCAGGCAGAGATTGCCGCTGGCGAAGATGCTGACTGGAGCCCGATACTCGTCCGGATTCACGGCACACAAGGCGGCGAGGTTGGCTGGAAGAGAAGACGGAACAAAGTTCTTTAATACAAACTCCAATATACCATTGGGAATGAGTCGCTCAAATGATAAAAAAAGAATATGAATAATAGGTATTACAATCCAAAGCGTTTACAACATTATTATATATACATTATTCTTATCTAGTTTATTGGTTTATAGTAATCCACATCAGAAATAAAAATCAAAAGAGACCTGGATAAATTCAAATGTTACATTTTTGGGACAATCCCTTGTGTATTCTACAAAGATCATTAGAGTTTTACCAAAATAATATAATATTTTATATAAGTACATATGTAAACTCCAATATACCATGGGAATGAGTCACTCAAATGATAAAAAAAAGAATATGATTAATAAGTATTACAATCCAAAGCATTTACAATATTATTACAATCCCTTCTGACTCATTATTAGGCACGAAAATGTTTATATTACAAGATTTCAAGCATGCTTATAAAAAGTTTTGTGTTGAAATCTATAAATATTTTTTAAAAATTTAGCATACGATTCTGTGAATGGCCTATAGTAATCCAAATCAGAAATAAAAATCTAGAGAGACCTGGACAAATTCAAACGTTTTTGGGACAATCTCTTGAGTTTTATCAAAATAACTATTGGTTGTTTAAGGCACAATCTTGATTTGGTTCTAAATTTCATAGAGATCCTAAGAGTTTAATAAATATTATGCTAATAATGCAAGTATTTTGCGAAATTCTTACAACAATCTCTTGTGTAATCTACAAAGATCTTTAGAGTTTTATCAAAATAACTATTGGTTCGATAAAGCACAATCTTGATTTGGTTCTATATTTCAAAGAGATCCTAAGAGTATAATAAATGTCATACTAAGGCATATATTTTGCGAAATTCGTACAACAATCTCTTGTGTAATCTACAAAGATCTTTAGAGTTTTATCAAAATAACTATTGGTTCGATAAAGCACAATCTTGATTTGGTTTCTTATTTTATAGATATCCTGAGAGTATAATAAATATCTTACTAATGCATTACAACAAACTCTTGTGTATTCTACAAAGATCTTTAGAGTTCTATCAAAATTACAATTAATCTTGCTTAGGTTCTCAATTTAATTGCGATTTAATTAATATCATACTAAGACATATATTAAGAGGGGCAGGGATCTGCCACCTCAACGGAGGGCTACTCACACGCCAATGTGTCCACGCTGGCCTCCCTGGTCAGCGAGCTGTTCCTGCCGTTCGACGAGTCCTGCGACTGCGAGTTGGGCGTGGAGCGCGGCGAGGTGTCGTCGCCGCTGGCCTGCTCCTCGCCCACCGAGGCGGCGGACGAGACGAGGGCCAGGTCCTCGGGCTCCCCCTCCCCCTCCGCCGCCGTGGCGCTTTCCGGCGTAAGTTTCTGCTCCTCGGCAGACAAATTCCCCGCTGGCACCGATACCGCAGCCACCTCCAGTTCCGCCTCCGCCTGCGCCTCCCGCTGCAGCGAGTCGGTGAAATCCGGCATGGGGGAGAGCGGCCGCGAGGTGCGCACACAGGCCACCTCCTGGAAGCCCTTCTCCAGCAGGCGCGGCACCAGCGAGGCCATGCCCAGGATGAGGACGCACATCTGGCGCACCGGCGAGCCGAAGCAGACGACGCGGCGCTGCAGGAGCAGGAGCTTGAAGAGCATCAGCGCCTTGTGGCGCCAGTGGAGCACTATCTCGCGCAGCGACAGGCCCACATGGAAGTGGCGCAGCGGGCGGCGCGACTCGTCGTCCAGCAGGCAGGCGTTCAGCTGCTGATAGGCCTTCACCAGCAGCTCGGTGCCGGAGAAGTCGCCCTGGTCGAAGAAGGCGTCGGCGATCAGGGCCAGCTTCACCTCGATGTACCCGTAGATGGGCAGGCGGGCCAGGATGCAGACGGACTTCTGGACGGTGCTGCGCGTGAGATCCGCCGTCCTGATCTTCAGCTTCTCCACTCGGACCTGCCGGTAGCAGGAAACCCCGTAGATGCTGGCGGCGGGCTCGTACAGGCTGGGCAGATTGAAGAAGACCGTGTCCTCGGCAAAGTTGTGCGACCCATCGGGCAGCGCCAAGGTGGGCAGGTACTTCCAGCCGGAGGGACACTCGTGGCGGCCCGTGGAGCCCGAGATGAGCGGCGGATGGGAGAACTCCACCTGGCAGCCCAGCTTGTGGTGGAAGCCCACCACCAGGATGTGCAGGATGGGCGGCTTGTTCTCCGGCTCGCTGGCCATCGTCCTTGTCGCGGAGCCGCAGGCGGTGTCCTCCGGAAAAATCGACTTGTTCACCTTTTTTTACCTGCCGGAAAAAATATGGAATTCTATTTGGGCAGGGGCATCGGCCCTCTCGCTCGCACTCGTCTGTTAGCACGCCACGCAATTGTTCCTCGGCCCACCGCGCGCGCCCTCTTTTTTGCAATTATTGGTTTTGCCAGTCGTGCCCCGAGTCAATTGCGCCTTTCCTCTGCTGCTTGCTTTCTTTAACAAGTTAGTTAGCCACTTTTGTTTTTAGTTTATTGTGTTTTGTGATTAGATATCGATAGCAGCAGGCGTACTCCAATTGGAATGAGATGTGCATTCGCCGGTTATCGATTGGCTCGATTGGGCGCAAGGGCAGTATCGATTACACATTGCGCGATTTATAGCGGTACATTTGAAGTTCCAAAATGTAACCTTATAAGAATAAATAAAAACCCTTTTACTATTTCGTAAAATAGCAACATTTCGATCTTATCTATTATTAAATTTGCTTTTTTGGTGCAGAACTTGGCTAGTAACACTGTTTTGCCAGGTGTAACCTTTATTTATTTACCTTAATGGGTGCTGCAGGATTTTATAGGGTTCGAATGTCTAATCTAATCAGTAATCTTTAAGGTGAAATTCAAATATTGGCCATATTTGAACTGCAAGTCTTGGTTTTTTAGTTAATCAAGTTATTTGACAAGTGCAAATTTTTAAAACTCTTTCCAAACAAAAAAAATGATGGGATTTTTTAACGGAGCCATAATCTGCGGTCAAAATTGTTGTATTAACACCACCCTTTATCTCTAAAAATTTTATATTTTATTTTATTTTATTCTTTATTATAATCCTAATTTATACACTGTGTTTTGAGGAATGTTTTAGGTTTAAATTAAGTAAGCCAAATGTATAAAATATAGCCCTCCTATTGCCAAATTATGATTTCCGGGCGCCGGATTTGCTAATCGCCAGTAAAACAAACGCGGTTTCGCTAGCTTGAATGCTGCAAGTAATTTTTAATATTCATTTCCAATTGTCAACAAGCTAAAAATTAAGTCAAAAACAAATTCTGAAAATAAACGTGTAATATTATACATATAGTAGACAGAGCATAGGTACTATATAGATATAGATCGCCTGTGTATGATGGCTTTTTCTTAAACGTTTTTATATTTTTTGCTGTTTTCTTTTCGGCGTTTCTTCTGTGTGTCTTTTCCTATGGATTTTTCCGTTGTTTTTCTTTTTTTTCTCTTTGATTTGGTTCGTTTTCATTTCATTTAATTTACTTAGAACGTATTTTTAAATCGAACATCCAACATATAGAATCTAAAATTGGCACGCATCGCGTTGTTTGTTCTTTACAAAATATGTTTGTCTGACCTGATCTCTGAAACAATCTTATTCAATGAAAACTTTATGAAACACAACAGGCGCAAATATATATTAATATTTGACTGGAATAAAATATGGATTTGAAATGGCAAATAAATGTATATTTAATAATAGAAAGCTATTTTGTTTGGTTGGCCAATTTTAAGAAATATAAAAGTGTGTGGGTATTGGGGGGTTCAAAAAAGATTGCTTAAGTAAAAAAAAAGTTGTAACTAAACATTAGTTATTAAATATTCACTGGAAACCATTTGTTTTAAATGCCCGAGTTTTCAAACAGTTTTTCACTTCATAAGACCTTTGGGTTTTGACCTATCTGAAATGAAATATTTTTCCAGATCTTGAATAATGTTTATGTTATTCCTGATCTATGCAGATATTACCCACAGTTGCCCGTAAACATCGCCCCAGAAAGCTAACCTATAGATAGACATATAGAAGATATTTAAACAAATACATATACGCGCATACTTTAATATGTATATATATATAGATATATATATATTTATATCGGGGGACTTCGTGCATGCGAAGGCTACAGACGATAGCGCCCACACAAAATAGCCAAAAATAGAACAACAAAAATTCGAAACTGTGCTATTTGTTATTCCCTGATTTTCTGATTTTCTAATTTTCTGATATTCCGATTTTCAGAAGATGATGCGAATTGAAATTTAGTTGAAGGCATACCCAAAACCCACTTTCACGCCCACATCTGCACATGCGTGTACTTCGGGTGTACGGATTACTGGGCTCTTTGGCCCCGATGTTTGCAATAGGTTCACTGTTGTTTACCGAACGAAAGATGTTACGTTCACATAATGCCATACCGAATCCAGACGGCAACCGAATATCCCATAAGAAAATTAACGGTTACAGATGTCGGATATATATCTGGACACATCTCCCCGGATTGTTTCATGCACTGAGTACCAGAAAATTCGACCTGCCCACCTGTGTCCCATTGCGAATCTCTAGTTCTTGGCAAGCCATGCATAATACCCAGACCGTACAGGACTACCCATATATATGCAATATAATATAATATATCTGCTGTGTGCATTTCGCAAAGGTGCAGATACAAAAATGTTCTAAATTTAAGACACTTGGTAACCAAAAACGAATCAAAACAAAGAGCGAAACTTAAGGATTGTAAAGTAATTTTGCTGCACGGGGAAATTAATTGCACATTATTACAAATCCATCTAAAATATATACATTTACAAGGCGCATTTTTTAGATCCACGAAATTTAAATTATTTTATTTGTTATCTGATCTTTTGTACAAAGTAAACCATTTTAAATTGTTTACAAAATAATATAAGGGCTTTGTAATATAACAAAGCTAACTTTTTATATATGAAATAATAAAACTTAAATACAAATATTAATAAAAATCCATTTTACACATTACGCAACGTATTTCCTTAACATCTTTTAAAAATGTTCTATTGTTATTTTTACTAAATGTCTTTTTGTTTACACTTTTTATGGTAGAATAATGGTTTACAAAATAGTAGGCGGTTCTGCCACTCTTAAATCGTCTCATATATTATGTTATTATTTTAAACACAATGAAATAAATAAACAATTTGGTATACCCAGAAAAATTATGGACAGCATTTTAGGTCATGCATAGCCTAAACATTTTAAATGGACTAAAAGTTCCTTTTTGGGTCATGTACTGCCCTAAAAATTTAAATTTTTGTTATATTTGCCCTACTATTTAGGCCCCGTATATCCTAATATTTTAGGTCATTGTGGTCCTTAAAATTAATGCATTTTACCTTAATAAATTTGCACGGAACTCTGATAGCGTTCTGGCGACGCTATAATTCCCAACCAGTTCTAGCGCGGCTTGCATGGTAACCCGCCTCGATCGTTGACTGTATGCATGTACAGTGAAGCCTCTTCGCTCCTTTTTGTGTGTTGGCATAATGACGACTTCTTGAAGACTAAGCCGACATTGACCCCGAGTTAGATACATTTTTCAGTACATATTTTTAGGCTAAAGAAAGCCTAACATTTTGGATAGGGGTTTTCTCATATTTTTTTGCAGCAAATTACCTAAAATCTAGGCCAAAAATTACCTCCATTTTAGGCCATTAATGGCCTAACATTTTAGGTCATGGAATCCTAAATTTTAGGCCATTCAAAAACTTAGCTCCAGATTTAGGCCAATTTTATCTAAATTCTAGGCAATTTTTTGACAATTTCATTTTTTTTCTGGGTGTATAGGTAGTTTTATAAAACATTTTACGAACTATATTTAAGTCAGTATATTGTTGTATTACAATCATTAAAGCCTTTTGTCTGTTTTAATCATTGAATAAATGTGTAGTTTTAAATGAAATATGATAAAATGTGTTTCAGGCAAAGCTTGATATAAAAAACATTTGAAATACAAGAATGTTGAAAAAAATATAAATTTTGTGGTTCTAAAGATCCCTGAAAATGCGAATTTATTAGTATTTATTGAAACAATTTTCCTTTTGATTGAACTTCTATAATATTAAACCTTTGGAGTATAAGAATACTTATCAAAAGCTATAAGTAGCTTCTAAAATCTGCAAAACAAATATTTTTGTATATGCTTAAACTATATTTTGTTGGAACATTTTTTACAAATATCTGAAAAATCCGCATGCAATTCCCCACATATCCTTTAAATGGTTCAGTTCCATGTTTAAAAGGAAAAATATACATTTTCATTTTGGATTCGTGTACTATTTGAATTTTGAAAGAATTAAAAACTAAGGGCTTAGCTCCTAGTAATTTATTTTGACGTTGAACTTATGTTTACAAGGGTACACAAGTATTATCAACTTTTTGGTCGGTTGATCTGGTATCTAGTGATTAAATAGCACATCTAGAAAGAGTGAATCAAAATCGACGCTTAAAACAAAGGGCCTCAAGGCGTGTTAGTGTATCTAGAACTATTTGGCGAAAGTTTCTGTTAGATGGGAAAATAAAAAAGTCAAAAAATAGCAAAGAAAAAAGTGAGAAATAAAAAAAGAAAATCGGAACAATGACGAATAGATTCAAGTGTTAGACAAATGGCAATGCGATGGGGCCACCTAAGGCCGTTCGACGTCAGCCGTTCGATCGCGAGATATAGACGGGGTAAATAAATATATATACAAAAAATATGTGCTAGGGGGCGAGTTTGTAGGGCGTGCACTCTGGGGTTCAAATACTGCAACGATCCGTTGAGGAATCTAAGCTATATGTACTATATAGCGCCGCGAACATACATACAGGCAGGAATATATGCAGGCCGACTTTTTAATGGCTGTGAAATTTATGTTCTACGATATTTGATTCCAAAAACAAATGTGTAAAAAGCCGCCAACGCTCCTCCGAGCGACTATATGGCTATATACTTATGATCTAGTTATGTGCGTTATATAGCAGATGCCTCGTCTCGCTCTGGCCAAAATGGAAAATGGAAAATTGGAAAAGTCGGTTCGAAGTGTGCGTGTACAAGTTTATGTTTCAGCTGCAGCCCACCTGAAAATCCCCAACACACCCAGCAGCCAGCAGCCAGCACCCATCACCCACCACCCACTTGTTGCCACATCGGCCAGAGATATCTGGCATATCTGGCATATAGCGCTGCGCTCCTTGCACCCATTCGGGCCATAGGCTATATAGAAAAGCGTTCGGTGTGTGCGTGGAAATGGCTTTTCCGCGAACGCGACCAAAAATTCTTTAACATAACGTGTAGCAGCGCTTTTCATCGTCAGTCTGTTTAGTCGAACCGCAGCATTCGCTCCTACGACGTCAGCTGCTCGGACTTCAATTCAATTTGTTTTTCTCCCTAAGTAAGTTTTTTTTTTCTGTTTCTGCTCTACTGCTGCTTCACATCTCCTTCTACTGCTGCATCACCAAAAAAATCTAATCAAATCAAATAGTGTGTCTAAAAAACAAGAAAGTTATTAAAGAAAAAGAAAACCAAATCCTTTGGTCAAGAACCACGAACCAAAAATCAACAAAATAAAGTTACGAATTGGAAAACTCTAGTGTTATATAACATTATTTTT